TTCCAATTGGCGTCAGTTAGCACAGAAGAGAAATGACTGGCGTGCTGGTTTGGACTCGGCCAAAATCGCTTAGGCGGTTACAGCGCCAATAAAGAAGAAGACTATAACCCACAAATTAAGACACTTAAAAATAAAAGTCCCTGCCAAAGTGTGTTTGCCTAAGGGAAATTTTAGCAGTTGATAAATAACCCACAACGGAAAACACAAAAAGATCGCACAGAGTGATATGCCACGGTGAGAAACACTCTTTGCTTGAGAGATGAGTGTTTTTGGCAGTGGTAAACACCATACAAGACACTTGGTGACGGTTATTTTCGATCTCTGTTTAAAACACTATCTATATATATGTACATACATACATACTTATAACATACAAAAAAGGCAAAAACAAACAAATTTAAAAATACAAGAAAATAAAAAAGTGGAGTATAGATTTGCACTGGAACCTCCTCATTTCATTTTAAACTTGCAAAGCAAAAAAAATATAAATATAAAAAAGTGAAGTGTAGATTTGCACTGAAACCTCCTCATTTCATTTTAAACTTGAAATTCCTTTTTTTCTATGAAAAGCGTCCAACCTTAATGTAGTGAAAGAAAACTATTAAAAACATAACAAAAACAAGATATAAAAAATACAAAAAAATAAAAAGTGAACTCTCGTACTGTAACTACCTCGTAGTGGGCTTCGGAAACCAAATTTTATATAGGCTAACTACAGGCGTATTTTCTATGTTGGCCGTAGAGGATTCGCAATTTTGAATTTTTAAAATATAACCTTAGATTCGTGATCACCGACCTCAAAAACCCCCAGGTAGCAAGTTTTAAGCATTTATCGCTAATTTTATCGCATTTACCCTAATTTTATGAGCAAACATTCAGCCTCATTGCGTAAGTCGTAAATTAGGCTGAATTGTACGACTCGACAACAGCATTAGCATTGTCTACTGTCCTGCTGAAATAAGTAAACGACGAAAATTGTCGAAAACTATGCAGTGCTGCCAAGTTCTTCCGTTTTAATACACTAGTCGGGTGGAAATTTTAGGCAATGACGCTAAATTTTCGATACGATTCGACTCTCGAAAAACGACATGCATTCGGCACGACTCTCGCTGATTGTCAAAAACCTGAAATTTTGAACAATTGAGTATGCAGATGTCCTCCTGCATTCATTGCAAATGACATACTGAATAAAATAATGTAAAAAAAAAATATTTTATTTAACATGTACAATCAAAGGAATAACATAAAGTAGTGTAACAAAAGATTTTTTAGCAAGTAAATTTTGTCAATACTGCACTAAAATGAATAAAATAAAATAAGGTAAGGTCTCGTTAAAGTTACTAAAAGCCATTTAGTGAAAGCTTGTTCTTAAAAAATATTTTTTTTTACATTATTTTATTTTCTAATTTTTAGTCCATTTATAAAAGCGTTGTATATTAAAAAGTGTTATTTTATTTTATGTACAAAATTTTGCAATAGATATTAAAATAATTCAACTTGCAATGAAAGAGAACAAAAGACTTATATAGTTGCGTTCCAGATAACTTCGTGTAAAAACCTGTAAAACTGTCAAATAACAAAATTACTCTCTTGAAAGAGAGGAGCAAGAGAAAAAAAATAAAAGTCACCTGGAACGCGAAAAACCACTTTTCCTGTAACTACTTCTATTTTTCTTTTAATGTAAAGCGCCATGGAGACGATCAAATATCTTTATCAATCGTCTCGCGTTTTGCTTGACAAAAAACAAGCGCACTTGCCTTCTGATCGTCGTGGTGAGCAAGTGCGCGGACAAGAAAAAAAATTGTTTGTCGAATTAACGTGTTTATTTGAACGTTTGCGGGCAAGACACGAGCCAATATCACACATAGGCAATGCTTGACCAAGAATGATAGAATAGAATGAGAATGCTTACACATTGTGGAGTTAGCTTATTGCCAATATAGAAGTATTACATATATGATTAAAAAAAATCCCTTTTTTGATGAAACATAGTTTTGACCATGCCTAATCATATCACCCAAAAAACCTCTTTAATGGACAAATGATTCATATTGTAAAAAAATGCGTACGAATGTAACGCTGCCAGTCAAATCATCGACACTATGTAAAAATGTAGTACATGCATAGGTTTTCATCTCGAATAAAACCAATGGAAGAAAAAAATCCAATATTTTAGATTATGCTTTAATTTCGCACATTTCATTATAATTATTTCTCTATAGGCATAACAAATATGTATTTTTTATTATTTGGTACAAATGGTATCGATTTTAGCTATCATAATTTAGTTACATTTGTTACATATGTATGTATGTAGGTATATTTTATTCAAAATTCAAGTGTTATTAAATTTGGATATTATTTTTTACATGCGTGTTTACATATACATATATTAATTTTATTTTGCATTTTTCTCCTAGTCTACATATGTACATATGCAGCTTTAACATATGTATGTATGTATGTACATAGTAGTGATATCGATATTGTGCATTTGGTATTATAAGTAGGTACATATAAATATGTATGTGGGTTATAAATGCAATTGGTCCATTTGGCACCTTATTCATCTGTACCTACATATATACATATGTATATAGTATATCATACATAAATATGTCCCAGTGGGAAAAAGGGAATGCATTTCCTTTTTCTACCAAGAAAAGATCAACAACTACGGTTCAACGAAAAGATGCATCGAACGTAGAGACGGGCAAAACACGTGATTTTCTACGTGGCACACGCGTTGGTTTTTGAGATTTTTTTTATTGAAGGTGTTTTGCATTTTTTCCATATAAAGTATTTTCGAAAAAAATTTTTGTATGAAAAGACTGCGTGAAAAAAAAATTGCCAAAAATCAACGGTTATTCCTAGCTACTTATAACTTGCACTTTATTATAATACAAATGCATACTCAAACGAAGTCTAAAAAATCTGATTAAAAAGTTGAAAATGTTCATTTTCATTTTTCGCGAGTTTTGCACAAAGTTTAAGATTTATATTTTTATGTTTTTTGTTGTTGAATGAACCATATTTTAATAGAAAATTGGCGGAAAAATATTAGAATAAAAATTGTTGCATATATTGTGAAAAATTTGCTGTGCCAATACTTTGTTCCGGCAGTGTATATGTAAATAAAGTCCCAATTTGAAAAAAAAATGTCCATGAAGAAGCGTGCGTGATTAAAAACCTAGGCGTCGTGAGCGTACGTGAACGTGATTGAAACAAATATAACAGAACGTGAGAATGCATGATTTACAAAACCATCAAAGTGAGCGTGCGTGAACGTGAGCCAAAATCACTCACGCGCCCATCTCTAATCGCAACCCTGCAGCGAAAAGTACTAGTACAGAACTAGTGAATTGACAAGTTTTCGGGAGTCGAATACCGGTACCTCGCAAATCTATCACCCATGCTTTCTACTGTCGCATTTAACATGGAGTTGTCCTAGAAGGTGACAAGGTACAAAAACCACTTTTTTTCGTTGTGCACTTCCACAGATACTTTTTCATAAATAAAAAAAAAAAAAACGAAAATAAATGTTTAAAATTATATGTTCTGAGATTTGAACCTGGACACTCTTGGCTGCAACTAATTGCACCAAGCATCTTTACGCACTCAGCTACAGGCACAAAATGTAAATGTGCTTTCAAATGTTCGGTTTGAGCGCGTATCAACAAAATTCATAACCGCGTATCAACAAAATTCATAACCGCGCATGTGAGGTTGCATAAATTAATTTCTAGATAGTAAAAACGCTCTTATTTTAAAATGGTTCTCTTTTTTTATGAAGCAATCGCAATTCAGGCTAAATAGTATATTTCAGGACGAATAGATGAGGATTGAGCCAAGAGCTTGTGTGAACAAATCCAATTTTTGGCAGCAATTATATCAGTGAGGCGGTTTTGCAGAATGACGATACGTGGTTTTGTATTTTAAACGACGATTTAGCTTTGCTATTTACATTAATGTAAGCGAACAGATGATGTGTAGTTTTGAATTCAAAACAAAACGTTTGAAAACTAACTCAAGTATTTTTTTACGTTATTTCAACAGCTGCCGTAGCCGAATGGATGAGTGTTCGACTGCCGTTTTGTTGGCCACGGGCTCGAAACCTATGCCACGGACTTTGTTTTTTTTATTTTTATTCTATTTATAGTTTCGTAGTGACATGCGACACATTACTTTCGTAAGACATCGCTGTGGAGAAATTCTTGCATCTTTTCGTGTGTAAGTTATAGGGGCCAATCATTAGTTTTTGCATTCCCAGCCATTACCTTTTCCCACAGGGGTTATATGTACGTGCATACACATGTAATTTTTCAATTTATAATAATAATATTTTAGCGAATACGATTTTGCTCAGTGTTTTGGCAGAGCTTCTCCTCCAATTTGTGGTGTGCGTGTTTATGTTGTTACGCAAATGCTGGGAACTTCAGTTCTACGATACCTCCGAACGGCAACTGGATTTTATGAGAAGCTTTTACATGGCCGAAATGCACTCGGAGATTTGTCATTGCCTGCCGAGGGTTGACCGCTGTTAGAAACCACTTTTTCTATAGGATGAAAACCAGGTCCTGCTGAGTGGTAGTATACACCTCTTACCAATCAGCCACAGCGAGCGTCAATTTATACTAATCCAAAAAATTACAGATTTTTGTGCCGTTTAGGTTTATGTAATAAGTCTTTTTAAAATTATACATATGTACACATGCTAGTATTTACAAATTTATGTTCTCGTATATGCACATACATATGTATGGATAAGAAAATCGCACAGGCTCTTCAAAAGTGTATGAATTCACAATTTGCAATGCGATCATATGTGTAATTTACATTCCAATCTGGGGCAATATTTCATTGTAATCTACTGTAAACTGCCAAAACAGTAAGGCCTCCT